GGTTTTAATATGCTGCTTTCCCTTTTCTTAGTAAGAAAAAAAAAAGCGGGGATGCAGATAACGAGTAGATTTACAACGCTATAGCCGAGACCAGTCGCCTTAACTGTGAAATTTTACAGGGGTTTCTGAATTTTTTTTTTGCTTGCTTGCTTGTTTATTTTGAGGGATTGAACAAAAACATATTAAAGAAGCACCATCCCCAAATAGTCAGGCTTTGAGGTTTGAGGGAATTAAGTACTTTCCCCAAGGAGCAAGCCAAGGGAGAGGCAGTTGTGCCACCACACATGGAAAGATAGGAGAGGCTGCAGGAGCTGGAGAAGAGCTGGCTCAGGGGCATCTCATCACTGTGTATAAATAGCTGAAGGGAGGGTGTCCAGAAGACAGAGCCAGGCTGTTCTCAGCCCTAACCAATGGCAGGACACAGGGTAATGGGCACACACTTGAACATAGCCAATTCCATAAACTTTTTAACCCTGAGAATAGTTGAATACTGGCACAGATTGCCCAGATGGCTGTGGAGCCTCTGTCCTTGGGGATGTCCAAACCCTGACTGCACACAGCCCTGAGCAACCTGCTCTCAAAGAAATCCTCAGGCCCTTCAGCTTCAGTCGGGGCAAAAGCTTGATTTGCTGTAGCTACCTATAGAGGAGAGCAGCACTGCCCACAGCCCCACCAAGGTGGCCTCCATGCACCGTTTGGATCTGGCCTGCACTGGTGAGTCAGCACAAAGCTTGTCCCAGAGGAAAGTGCTGGAAGAGTCAAGAAACATCCATAGTGGGCCTCAGCTGGGATTATGTTCTTAATCCTGAACAGTAAATGAGCCTTAAAATACATTACCGAGTCTGTGTATTTTCTCAGAGGTAGCTTCCAACTTCAGCTCTTGAAAATTTTAGGGATGGTCCACAGGTTGTGGACCAAGCAGCTGAGAACGCAGTTCATATAGACATTGCGGGATACTGGAAAGCTTTCTAGCAGAGCCTTATGGCCTTTTCTTCCTTGTCCAGAACGGCCCATCAGTCCTGCATACGCTGCAAAAGAATAGGTAGCTTTATAGTGGGTTGCATTTCCTTCACGTATTGTTCTGGAATAGAGCGATTGCACAAGTCTTTGCCGTTTGGGCTTGCAGCCTTTCTCCCTGACAAAGCCAGCATTTTCCTTTGGCATAAACACCAAACCTGTCCTCTTGCAGGGAGTCATTGTTTGGGAATGTGTGGCAGCTTGGCAGGTTTTCTGGTACCAGATGGAGCTGCTGGAGACAGCAGATTCCTTTAAGATAAGTTTTAAGCTGCAGACTAATACACAGAAGGTCAATAGCTCAGATTTGAGTGTAAAAATGAGTTTGCAGAAGTTGATACTGCAGTAAAATACATAGTTCAATATCACAGCTCTGCTGGCAGCTACATAGTTCCTAGATAGTGCAAATAGATGGTTCCTTTAACCTTATGCCACCTTATGATAGGGACACTGGTAAAATAGTTTCATTCGCAAGCACTGGAGTAGCGTTTTCAAGATGACTCATTGTCTTGATTCATCCTGCTTTTTAGGTTCGACTTACTGTTTTTCCTGCTGGCCTGGTCAGTTATTGACAGCTTTATAGACGGGGATTGTTTTATCCTTATGTTTTGGACAGTTCCTGCTTTTTAGTGGCTGGATCTGATTACTCACCTACGTAAGTGCTTCCTTCTGTGTTGTTATTCAGGTATGTATCTCATTAAGTGAAACTTGATTGCTTGATTAGGGAAAAAAAAAAAAAAACAAGGACTGGAGAGGTCCAGATACTTCTTCTTCTTCCTTTTTTTTTTTTTTTTTAGTAAATGAATGTAATATTACACTTCTTTGAAAAATACTAGCTGCCTCTAAGGAAGCAAATGAAGAAGGAAATCTGATAAGAGGGGGTGTCTGAATCAGTTACATCTTTGATTATATCAATAGAAAAGTATATGATTTTCATTTAATTTATTTGAAAAACATGATTTACTGCCTGAAAAGCTGTGTAAACTTTCTGTAGCTGCAGCCTGTGTCTCCATCTGAGCTGCACAGGATTTTTTTCTTCCTTTGTTTTTGCAGTGTGTAGGTGCAAGGAGAGCTGTGATGTCTCCTGTGCCGTGGGTGCTGCTGCCTTTTATCTCAGAGCTCTGTTGCTGGACACAAGGAGCCTGGCCCCTGTGGGGCACAGCAGGACAGGTAGTGCAGCATGTCATACCTCTGTCCTCTCCAGCAGCATGTGATTTTTTTTTTTTCTGGATATTTTGAATTTCTGTTTACTGTAAAGATGGTTTGGGGAGGAGGTTTAAGCCTTATGTATTGACTGTTGCACTTTTTATACCTAAGCAAGTAACCAAAAATTGAGGCATGTGTAGGTTATTCCACTGAGGATGATAATTTGGTGATAGGATCAGATACCTTCAATACAGTTATGTTTACTTACAGAAATACATAAAAATATATTGCCATAAGCACGGAAGAGATCAAACCACTGGGGGCAGTATATTGCAAACAGCATCAAGCCCCTTTCAGCCCTCAGCAAGCAAAGGGTTTCCTCACTTCAAGCCTTTCTTGGGATGCTTGTGCTGGTTGTGCTGACACCTTTCATGATATGACATTTCACGCTCCTCCATGGACTCACACACCCTTCCCAAAGCAAACAAATGAGTTCTATGCCATGTTCTATGCAATGCCTTGTTTCAGCTACCTACTTCCAATAGAATTTCAGAACCAGTTTAATGCACTATCAAAGCTGTGTGTAGCAGCTCCAAATCATCTTCCCTGTCTTGGGGATCAAGCAGACCTTGCACGTTCTGCATTATGGACTTGCCAGAATGCAATGCTCAGAGCATCCCACAGCCGTGTTCCCAGGATGTCAGTGCTCAGAGCATCCTGCAGCCGTGTCCCCGGGACGTCAGTAGTAGCAGCCAGCCAGCACTGGGGACCAAATCCCACAGAAAGAGGTTTCAGTGCCACGTGAACCCCTGCGCTGCGCAGCGGCCTTGAGGTGCCAATACCGAAGGCGAGCGCATCCCGGCGGGCGGCCGGGCCCACGCAGGCCCCTCCGGCGGGGGGAATGCGGCTCCCGCCCGCTCTCCCTGCAACACGAGGGCTTCCCTAAATCCCCCCGCGCCATGCGGCCGCCCCGCCGCGCCCCT